ATTTCTGCTGAACATAACATGAAAGAAGCGGTCAAAATGTTCTGTCCGTCACCATATAATGTGCAGGAGCTTTATGGCTTCGATATCATCCTTGATGAAAATCTTAAGCCCTGGCTTTTAGAAGTCAATATATCCCCAAGGTGCGAATTGTTATAACTTCAATTTAATAACTTATTACTATTATTATTATATTTCGTAATATTCGCCTAATGCATTTACCGAACCACTTAGCACTTTAAACATTGTTATCTATTATCGAGCCAATACTTTAAATCATTAACGATGTTTAATCTTGCAAATATTCCTTTGTTCACTATTAATTGTTGGATATATGTCATTACTTTGAACACCTTTATAAGATGACTGACTAAATTAATTAAAGCCCATCACTAGAACTATTTCAGATGCTTGGCCATGGTATTCTCTTATCCAGCCAATGGTCTTTCAAAGGCTACCAAGTAACAACACTCTTTCTCAAAACTAAAGTTCATTGAAAGGTAAAAGGTCCGAAATGAGAGAAAGAGATTGATGAATAAGATAGGAGTTAAAACTGGAGAGAGAGCAGAGAAATTGTGTCAGTTTGGGGTGGATGAAAAAGTGATTGAAGTATTGTAAACAGTCAGTTGAAGCAGTTTGTCGGAGAACTATAGAGAGTAGATATCAAAACTCTCAATGTTTGAGAGGTAGTCATCGTTGATCAAAGGTTCAGCAGAACGGCAGTTTCTTCAGAGATGCAATTGTTTGCTTATTGACGCCTGTCGGTACATACCGGCTTTTTTGTGGATGAATTATTCCTGCTTACAATTTCTAATTTTTTAGTTTGAACATTGACTCCGAACTTGACTTCAAAGTGAAAGACAAAGTGGTTGTTGACATGTTAAATTTAACAGGGATCCATCTTCCCTCTGAAAGTGATATTTCCAGGTCTATGTCTGAGTTAATACAAGAAAGACATCCCCAACCTTCAGGAGCATGTGTTCTGAGGAAGACTACAAAACGAAGTTATTGGGCCATGCTATCTGATGAATGCCCTCCACCAAGTAAGATTCAAGGTATAGCAACTCCCTTTCCATATAATGATAATGGTATTATTATTTTATAGTAAGATTCATGTAAAAACCATGATAGTCCTCAGTAAATCAATTGTGAAAGTGTTAGGCTGGCTATGCCAAGGTTGCTGGTTCGATACATTCTATTACCATGAGTTCTAACGAATATGAGTGTATAATTCTGCCGAGTTAGAGGTAATAAACTTGATACTCATCAATGAGGACATGTAGTAGAATACTGAATAGGTCCAACTAAATGTTACTCTGATCTTAGGGAATTTGATCTTATTCTTAAGTCCGGCACTGGTGAGAAAAACATTTTGTTTATCTTCAAGGTAATTGTTAGAATGTCTTCTTTTGGGGGCGGGTTCGTGCCACTCAAAGTCTATCAAGGTCTAAGGAGAACATTATAAGTGACTACCTAATACCATCTAGAGCATTATGAAATTTAGTTGACTAGTCAGTGGAGTTCAGAAGAGTAAAATTTCCAAGCTCTATCGCTTTCGACCCCATTGAGTATTTTGAATAATTTAAAGACAGGTCCTGCTCATTGTTTTATTGCACTGATTTTGGCTTCTATAATAGTTTAATCGGCCTTTTTAATAGTGAATTTCGTCTAATTTGATAGGATCGAGAAGATCATCAACAGACAATAAGAAGCCACCAGCTCCAACGCATCCTTGGCATTTAGATTGTCGAATAATTCAATCAAAACTGGGACCAGATGAAGTATCCAAGCAAAATTTCTATGAAAGTCGATCGCTTAAGAGGAAAGGAAGAGCAGTCAGGCAATACAAATCAACATACTCTCGAACACCTTCACTCCAGCCTTTACCACCATCAACACCAAATCTTTTAGAATCTAATTATTCTGAAGCATCTACTAGCTCTTCTCAGACAGTATCTCAAGGCACCGATCCTGAATCCGCCAATTTTGATGCTTATTTGAAAGTAGTTGAAGAGCGTAAACGGTTGGCACAGTTGAAAAGGGACGTTAAGAATAGTCCCTACAACTGCCCATGGCTGAAGAGTCGGATTTCAGGTAAGAGGAAAGTCCTTCATTAAGAGAATATTTCTGCACTTGTACTGGAGGTTGATCTACTATTAACAGAAGGAGAGATAGTGTTCAATTAATTATTATTTCGAATGGCAGGCTTTATGATATTTATCATTAGCCCTTAAACTTTGACTTTAGCTTCCCCCATGGGTAATGATATTTATCATTAGCCCTTAAACTTTGACTTTAGCTTCCCCCATGGGTGGGGGGTACATATATAGCAGTTAATTAATAGCAGACATTAGCAGTCTTCTTGCTTCCCAGTATCTTTGGCTTTCCTGTAGCTGTCTTCTTGCTTCCCAGTATCTCTGGCTTTCCGTAGCTGTCTTCTTGCTTCCCAGTATCTTTGGCTTTCCGTAAGCTGTCTTCTTGCTTCCCAGTATCTCTGGCTTTCCGTCGTTAGGGCTGGACATCGAATCAGGTGGGTCTTCTCCATTTCAGCTGGATATGGATCTCGGCTTTCCGTCGTTGTCTTTAGGACTGGACACCGAATCAGGTGCGTCGTTGTCTTTAGGGCTGGACACCGAATCAGGTGGGTCTATAGTAGCTGTCTTCTTGCTTCCCAGTATCTCTGGCTTTCCGGAGTAGCTGTCTTCTTGCTTCCCAGTATCTCTGGCTTTCCGTAGCTGTCTTCTTGCTTCCCAGTATCTTTGGCTTTCCGTAAGCTGTCTTCTTGCTTCCCAGTATCTCTGGCTTTCCGTCGTGTCTTTAGGGCTGGACATCGAATCAGGTGGGTCTTCTCCGTCCCGTTGTCTTTAGAGCTGGACACCGAATCAGGTGGGTCATCACCATTTCCTCCGCTAGACACCGAATCAGGTGGGTCTTCTCCATTTCCTCCTTTGAACACCGAATCAGGTGGGTCTTCTCCATTTTCTCCTGTAGAGAATCAGATGGGTCTTCTCCATTTCCTCCTGTAGGTTTCACATCAGGTGGGTCTTCTCCATTTCCTCCTGTAGGTTACAGATCAGATGGGTCTTCTCCATTTCCTCATGTAGGTTACATATGGGCATGTGGGTTGAGTGTATACCCCCAATCTGTGAAGGTTTTCTGCCAGGCATTCGTGTCCGATACGTAGTCTAAACGCAACAACGGCTTCGAATCTGTATACTCCCAATCTTTGAAGGTGTTTTGCCAGGCAATCCTGTCCGGTACGTTGTCTAAACTCAGCAACGGCTTCGATTCGTGTATACTCCCAATCTTTGAAGGTGTTTTGCCAGGCAATCCTGTCCGGTGGTAGTCTAAACTCAGCAACGGCTTCGATTCTTGGAAACCGTGTCAGGTACGTAGTCTAAACTCAGCAATGGCTTCGATTCTTGGCTAGTCGGGTATGTCGGAGAGTGCCACTGTCCACTGTTTCTCTGTCGGCTATGTCGGAGAGTACCACTGTCCACTGTTTCTCCCTTCTTCGAGCTTAAAGTTTATTGCACCTTGACATTGATTATCTCAAGGGCGTGTTTAATGGATGGTATTTGCAAATTATGTCAGTCCAGTAAGTTGTGGCTACTACTAAAGATACTGCAGAACATTAGAAATTTTAATGGGTACTGCCTCTCTTAAATATTCTATCACACGACATGAGGAGAGAGAAACAATAACAAAATATGGAATTGGGGAACAGGCATCTGTCATATCTCTAATAAATTGGAATTGTGGATAATATGTTGAGAAAATCTGAAAACCAAAGACATTTAAGAAATTAAGTCTTACCTTTGTAATTCTTTATTTCGTCATATTTCCATTTTCATTTAGCTTGTGTAGTTCACGACACTACGTCCTTGAACTTGATTCCAAGTTCCTTGGGTGGTTTCATGTGTTGTCCATTATGATCAGAACTGGGTTGTGCGATAGACTTACCTCCACGTGGTGCAGTTGACTTCCCAATTCAAGCTACCATGACCGAACTGTATGTCATATTCGACCACTTCCTCAGTACTCATCTGTGTGTCTTCTCCCCAGTATAAAATTTATCTATTGTTCAACTGACAGGCAAGGAAAGCAAAAAATCAAGTCTCGTTGTTCATTAAAACTAGGTTGGTTTGCTTTTTACCTTCTCAGATCACATTCAATTTCCAGCTCCTCTCTTCCGCACTCATTTTACAACTGTCTACCATACACCCTGTCCTAAGTCTTCTGTTTCCAAACCCAAACTCTTTCGAGTACTGGTGGGATTAGTAATATCTAGTGGCAAGCGGAAAAAAACCTTGAATTTATCTGAATTTATTATTTAAAGAAGGCATGGAGCGACAGGCAGCAAGTAGACGGCGTCCCCGAAAAGCTTCCGCACCTGTCCGTACACCGCGATATTGGCCTAATTTGCTATTCTATCGCCAGGCTACACAACACATTTTGAATAACTTAACTCCGGCTGATGTTCGCTGTCTAATTCGATTGCTGGATTCGACTAATCGTGCCGGTGATTTCCAACTTGTTTTTCCAGCAACAACTGTGGAAGCAACTGCAGAGTACTTGACCTACTTCAGGGCTCCCGGCTACTACAATCTTCTAACTTTTGCCTATTTAGATAAATATAAGGCCAATAGCCAAATGGGTGAGTTTTTGTCTCAATTTCGAGTGAAGAACTTTTTAAGGTTTCTAAAATGGGTGTTTGGGTGTACTTATTCAATTCTTTTGCCAAAAATCGCAGAGATAGCTGCTTCATGGACCTCCTTCCATACCAAGGTCCAAGCGAAATATTCAATAGTCGATAGTCCAGTGCATGAGAAACGACGGTACTCTAGATTTTTCGAGCCCATTCAGTTGGATGCAAATACAGTTCAATAACACATTATAAAGCATAGGTCTTCCTTAATGAGTGCAAAATAATGATCCTAATTATTTGAATCCAGAATTAAAAGGAATATTTTGGATTGAGGAATTTTAATTTTAAATTTCCCAGCCATGAACTTTAGTTTATTTCTAGCTATTTGAGTCTACCAGTAAAACAAACTATGGGTATTGAGCATATCAGAATCGGGTGAAGCCTAGAAATAAATTAACTTAACGGAATGTTGACCTAGCTGAGTTTACTAAGGGAACGAGAGATTCCATTATAACGACTCTACCTTTCAATACTTACTGGATTTGCGCCCTCTCAGTTTATGAAAGCTTCTTCACTAAGTGTATATTGTCTTTTAGGAATCCAATTACTGAAAGAGCTTAGCCAAAAGGAAATCCACTTGAAGTCAACTCTTTATGATGAGCTGGATGAAGCCAATATCTGGCACCCATGTAGTACTGATTATGAAATATTTTAAAACTGAAAAAAAATACACAGCCAACGACAACGCAATGAGAATATTGAGTCGCGTTGCTTTTGCTTTACAACTAGGTGAATGTATACATTTGAGAAGCACCCTAATGGCAAGTGAATTGCCTATAATCTAATAAATTTCGTTGATCACAATTTTTAAATCTGCT